GAGAGAGAGAGAGAGAGAGAGAGAGAGAGAGAGAGAGAGAGAGAGAGAGAGAGAGAGAGAGATAAACAGAGAGATAGAGAGAGAGAGAGAGATAAACAGAGAGAAGAGATTTGTTACCAATCCGCAACTGTTCGTCCGTGTTCAACCAGTAACAACTAGGAAGGGTTGTTAACGAGGTGGGGGTCCGTTCACACCTCACATATATACCAGCCACAGAAAGCCTCGACATATATATTTTTATAACTAAAGAAAAAAAAACAGCCGATAACTGGGTCAACATTTTGCAAGAAAACTAAGAAGGTGTTGCAGTGTGTTTTAACAAGACTGTGTATGTCCCCCCCCCCCATTGAACCCTGATCCAATGCAAACAATATTTTCTAAAGTACCCATAAGCCCCAGAGCCTCAATAGTAGCGTGTGCATAGTGCAGACCTCAATGGTACGGTGGTGACCCAAGCAGCATACTTAGGGGTAAACTTGACTCTTATTGCAACATATAGATCACTGCAATATAATTGTTGGCGGCTTCAACCAGCACCAACACAGAGTGGGATTGTTATGATATCTAAGAAGATTTTTATCTAAAAAAAAACTGTGCGAGATTTACTTCCCATATCTTTGGCTCTTCTTGCGTGACCAACCCGCCGGAAGTTACTTGAGTTGCTTGTGGAAACTGTGGAAGGATAGTTGCAACTATAAGAGCAGTTACAGTCATTGAGGGCAACTATGTTCGTCAGACCTGAAAGCTATCCTCATTTCATCCCAACATACCTGGTAGCGCAATGGTAACTCGCTCGCCCCGCGCCCTGTGTGTGATCTGACTGGACACCAATCCTTAACTGCCCGCCTCTGTTCACCCAGCAGTAATTGGGTACCTGTTTGTCAACCGATTAGCGGGTCGTGTTCCAGGGAATACCTTAGGATGAGGAGTAAGGTTTTCCATGAGCTATGGGAAGGGAAAGCTCTCAGCCTGCTAATATATAGATGGAGGTCGTCCGTGTCTGTACCCACCTGTGTCAAACATGCGAGGATGAAACATCCATCAAAACGTGGCTGTGGGGGAAGAGAAACTATCCAGTCTTTCAGGGTTTGTTCCCGCTGAACGGAAACTCCTTCCCACACAACCGAGTTAACAATCAAGAAAATGTCTCACCACTCATATCCAGATCGACACTGATCAAACCCTCCAATTTACTTACCTTAGGTAAAAAAAAAAAGGCATCCTGCTGTCCACAATCACAGTCGCTACAATCAAGCTTGTCAGGGAATGGCAGAAGACAAACTCATGTTTCAATGCGCACCAGAAAAACTGAAACCTATATCAGGAGTAGCGGGCTCCAGCGACCGATGGTCTAGTCATTTGATTTACTCTTGATTTGCCACAACAAACAAGATATGAGGTGCTAAAGCTCACGAACCCAAGCCACCCACCAAACCTAACCAACCTACACACAGAAGACGTGAATATGTGTAAACCGGGACTTATCATATGACTGCTTATTTTATACAATGTGTACCATAGTGTACAAAATAAAAAGCACTAACAGAGAGGCCAGGATGAGGCCTTGTGTGAACACCGCCACAGTGGTTCATGGAAGCATCTTTACCGCACATTTGGCAACATGATTGCAAGCAATTCAGGTGTAATAACGATCAATATAACTTTTACAAATATGTAACAAAATTTTACATGTATATATGTAACGAAATTGATAACTATGGTAATTTTCGGCGACGCAGAGTGACAACAATGAAGAAACACAGGTCCTCGGTGGCTAATAGTTAAGTTTATGGCCGTTACGTCTTAACCAGAACAAATGTAAAGTATTTTCTCACGAGAAAATGACAATTATTCATTCTTCAGTGCCTCAAAATGTATACTTCCAAGACAATTTCTGATTTGATACAAATCTGCTGCCGTATAGATACCAACTGCACTGTTACTGGCTCTGCTCTACCGTGCTAAATGATCTGACGTACAAAACACAGCACTGTGCAACATTGTTTGCCATATCTGACGCATACATAGCGTTGTACTACATTGTACAACGTCGTAAATTAAGTGCATTGTACTACAATCATTGATGTACTAAATACTATAGAGTATTGTACTACACATATGACCTCACGAACACTCTACGAACACCCGTTCACTAACAACGGTACCATAGGGTGATCAGTAACACCGGCGACCCAGACAACGAAGCAGGTGATCTAGAGAGCGGACAGAGTGGAGGGCACGTGGCTCCAGCCAGGTGAGACAAGCTCATCCATATAAAGGAGCTCATCAATGGTAATGACCTGCGGGGAGGTGACCTGCACGTCCTTACCCACACTTAACCCGGACATTGAGCAGTGCTAAGCCGGGTTTAGTCCCCTGTTAATGTCAACATTCCCCTCCTTAGTTAAGGTTAAATACGTGAATCTACGGTTCACGGTGAGGGAACTGGAGAGCTAATGGAAGATATCTAATGACCTAATTACAGTTAATTATACTCAGGCAATATACTAATGTCTAAAATGAAATCACAGTAACGTGGTATATCGGTGAGAAAATATCTGGAGTAGAATGGTGGGCATCGAACCCGCGTCCTGCGTATCCCCAGACAGAGCTATGGAGCATGCGAGCTACATGTAAAACTTGGATTGGCTGCCGGCTCGATGGCTCCAGATTCCTCATGAGTCCAGCCTTACCCTTGTTTGTGGAACCTTCCATCACTTACCCATTGGTACAGTACGCGTCTGGGTGACCCCAGGACACTGGTTCGATCCCACAGTGCTCCTCCAAAGGTTCTCTAAAGATACTAATGAGTTTGACCTGAGGAGCTGCCCGAGTATAGCGGCCCTCACTTCACTCATCTTTCTGTGCTAAGTTTAGCTCCACTTAATACGCAATAATCACCTCACATCTTTCCTGCAGGGAGGCCGGAAATTAATAGTTTGAAACTGTCAATAGAACCTTACAATAACAGACATGTATTGTGACGTCATACATGTATTGTGACGTCATACATGTATTGTGACGTCATACATGTATTGTGACGTCATACATGTATTGTGACGTCAGACATGTATTGTGATGTCATACATGTATTGTGATGTCAAACATGTATTGTGATGTCATACATGTATTGTGACGTCATACATGTATTGTGACGTCATACATGTATTGTGATGTCATACATGTATTGTGACGTCATACATGTATTGTGACGTCATACATGTATTGTGACGTCATACATGTATTGTGACGTCAAACATGTATTGTGACGTCATACATGTATTGTGACGTCAGACATGTATTGTGACGTCATACATGTATTGTGATGTCATACATGTATTGTGATGTCATACATGTATTGTGACGTCATACATGTATTGTGATGAGATAATCTGAGACAAAACTAACTTCAGATTAAAAAAAGAGTTAATGTAATAATTATTTAAAAAGCAGTGATAATATTTCACCAGTATCTGGAAAACAGTATGTTAAAAAAAAAAGTTATTTAAAAAGATAAGCATTAAAAAGTTATGCATATCGAAGCTTTTTCTGGATGCAACCCACAACAGTTACCTAATTCCCAGGGATCTATTGACTGCTTAATGAACAGTAGCATTAGTTGTAAGGAAACGTGCCCAAACGTCCCCGTTCAGCATGAGTGTCGAGCCCGGGTCATTTGATGATTGTTTGTTGTTAATTGCATAAAAACTTTTCTTCTATTTTTTAATAATTAATAATTCATATTTATTTTGCTTTTACCAAGGTAATGTGAGGTGTGTGAAGAGGTGTATTAATGTGGGGTGTGAGGAGAGGTGTATTAATGTGGGGTGTGTGGAGAGGTGTATTAATGTGAGGTGTGTGGAGAGGTGTATTAATGTGGGGTGTATGGAGAGGTGTATTAATGTGGGGTGTGTGGAGAGGTGTATTAATGTGGGGTGTGTGGAGAGGTGTATTAATGTGGGTTGTATATTGATCATACTCCTCAATAAATCTTAAGAGATGTTTATCTCACCAGGTATTTACTTATGGATTTCATAGCTATTTTATTGTGTACCGAAATGATAATTTGTAAAGAACTGTGTAACATTTCCTTTCTTAAATTATCAGTGAAGTTGTCGCTATCACCAGTTGGCATCGTGATAACTGACTTTTCAAAAACATATTTCCTTGTGTAGAACACGGTGTCGTCTCGCATTATTATTCGACAATAACTGATTGATCATATATCATTTGGCAGGCCTTACATCTGCACTACTCACGACGATCAATCGAAAAATGTAATACCATTGCAAAGTTTATCATTAGTTCTGACTTTCTTCGATGTGAATTTTAGCCATAATGTTATGACATGAGAGGCAACAGGGCTAGGCCTTGGGCATCGTTCTGCGTCAGTGGCATTTGAACAACAGGATTACAGCGACTGTTATCCTTACAAAGGTCAGTGTTCATCCTAGTAAAGCTAAGGTGTTATGGCTAGATGAAACCGAAGACTAAGTTGGGGACCACTTGGTCAACACCCGCCGAGAGATATAATTGAACGTGGCAGGACGTCACCGTAGACTTTCGCGAACATTTCTTTTACTTGCTAGTGAAGACTACCTATCACATGCCTCTGTATGACTAACCATCCTGTGTGATGGGGATTTTTATAGCATCACCTAGTTATCTTTTTTGACACACTGTACTCCACTTCATATAGTCTACGGTAGCTGCACTAATGCAGATGTATCTAATGTATTAATAAAAAAAAAATTCGTTAGTCAAGTTAGTCAAGGTTAGTGTTTGACAAATCATATCTTGTGTGATGTCGATTATTTAGCAGCACTCTTGACCCACTGTGTAACCCTTCATGTAGTGTAGAACTGATGCATAAATGTAAACGGACCTCCAAATGTTAAAACACATTTTAGTGTTGTGATGTTATCTTTCTCAGACTAAGTTTATTCCGGGGTCCCGGTAGTCCAGTCGGGTTCGTTCTCGACTCACAATCGCCAATTCCGGATTCGATTCCCGTCAAGGACAGAAATGGTTGGGCGCGTTTTCTATCACATAATGCACCTGATCACACGCACACACACACACACATATATATATATATATAAATATATATATATATATATATATATATATATATATATATATATATATATATATATATATATATATATATATATATATATATATATATACACTGCCTGCTTGTCCCCCGACACAATTAATTATTATTATTAAACCAATTAGTAATTGCACATTCATCTTTTCGAATTAGACTTGCAATACAGTTATTATTTTGCTCCAAATCATCCGACCTAGTATCACTTGTTGCGCCCAAGTTATTTTCCGGGAATTTTACTATTTAATAAGGTGATAAATATCGTCATTAATGGTAGAATTGCATGGTATCCCCCGAGGCAGTGATCAGTACGAGACTGTACATCTCTCCACGTTCATGCTTCGATAATAACCAAAGAAAATTATATTTGTTTTGTACTATTAGTCACGAGATGAAGCTACTAGGGATGGTAAACAATGTATCATATTCTATTTTAATGGTCTCCACTAGGACGCTATTAGAGATCTTGATGGCCCTTGACACGTTAACTTAAGAGTAAGTAATACCCAACAAATCTGGCGTAGGTCTCGTTATTAATTACCAAACATGTATTGGGTTTGGTGATTATTGAGTGTTTTGAGTGGGGAATGAAGGAGGAGCGAGGGAGGAGGCGGTGTGGTGGGTGATGGTGGGTGATGGTGGGTGATGGTGGGAGATGTGGTGGGTGATAGTGGAGGGTGTGGTGGGTGGTACCTGGTGACTCACTGCGTGACGGCGCGGGACCTCTGCCACCCTCCACCACCACCACACCGCCACCACCCCCACCACTACACTGCCACCTCCCTCACCTCAGCCCAGTCAACCTTCAGCGCCTCCCTCGTTACCACCAGCATCTCCCATAGACGCAACTCCCATGTCCCTAAGTAACCCGTTACACCATAGACTAAAAACCAGTTTCTATTGAAGGAATACCTGCTCAGGCAGGGTCAGTGTGACTGTATAGTGAAGAGGAACGAAACTCAGTAAAAAGTTGTGGTGCCTGCTAGAGGAACTATCGAGCCGGACTGAACCAGTCAATAAAAGTCAAACATTAAATGTTAAAACAGCGTCTTGATGTAGCATCTGGCTCCTCGTTCACCGAGCGGTTACTATCACAAGTTTGGTTTCAGTTATGTGCGAGATGGCCGAGTGCGCTGTGATCGTTAAACCTATTTAAGAAGCCAATATTCATCTTGACTGTGAACTTACACAAAAAATTTCATATATCTATAAAACATGTTCCAGAAAAGATTACACAGTAAATATTTGGCTATATATACATCTACTTGAAGTAGAGGTAACCCAGATATAGTTTCCGATCACCGCTCGTCGATCAGCGCTTTCCGATCACCGCTCGTCGATCAGCGCTTTCCGATCACCGCTCGTCGATAAGCTCTTTCCGATCACCGTTCATCTCGGAACGCAAGCCGCTCGAACTAGAACCACTACAACAGCAGATGATAAATATTACCATGAACATCACGCTCCCACGAGTGGCAAGTGAAATTTAATTTTGAACGACCGAAAGACAATTCAAGACGCTTTAAGGATGTCTGAAGAAAGTAAGTATATATGTATATATCTCTGGGAGTGTAGAGTCAGGTGTGTGAATGGCCACCAGCCTGTATGTCTCTCGGAGTGTAGAGTCATATAGGTGAATGCCCGCCATGATGTTTGTCTCTGGGGATTGTAAGGGCAGGTGGGTGGCTCTTTGCCAACATGTAATCAACACTGTAACCAAATCGTGACTCCACTAAACCTTTTGTGCTTTTCAATACAGTTTCTGCCATATTTACGCGAAGTTTATATATATTTTTGTTATAATGCGAAATATCAATGTAGGCGGGCACAGCTGACTCCCTGGCTCAACACCAACCGTCACATGGATGCACGATATCCATAGGGGGATATATTAATACTTCCCTACAATAGATGTTATGAATTGAAGTGTCGGAACAAGGGAACAGACGGGAGAGCCAAGTCTGTCTCCATCACAGGTGTTCTGACGAGCATCGTGTACTGTGAATTCCAGAAGAAAACTGACAATTCAATGTATCTGCTCGTTGCTGATGTAAAATGGATAATTATACATTTAGTTATGTTTTATATCCATGAATAACCTTATTTTTATTTTTCTTATAGGTTATACCTAACACCATATTAATTATCTTTCCTTTCTAAATATCAGTTCCCCTGTCAAATATCCATAATTCCCTTTTTAAGTTCCAGTTTTTCAACTTTTACTTGTTAATCTAATGTTCTGTTATTCCTTTTTATTGCCAATTATCAGCGTGATCTTGGACCGTTTTGTGGTACAAGATATCATCCTTTTGTATGTTCATTTCTCTTTATTTTCTGTTGTTTTCCAGGCTATGCTAGAGCCCGTTTGTACGATTCTTCAGCCCTGGGTTAGTTAGTAACTAGTGTCTCCTTGTAACTAGGAGCCTCTCTGTTGAGTTAGTGACTGACAACCGGTTTAATATTCATTTAATTCTGATTTTTGTCCTATTTTCTTTTTATGTTGATTGATAACCATATGTTATGTTGACCCAACATATCAACAATGTTAATATTGTAATTAACAATATGCATTGTAGTCATTTGACCCATTATCAGTATATCGTGTTATTTTATGTTGGACTGACTGATATACCCAAAATGTTTTCCTCCTGTGTCTCTTGTTCAATTCAGATTTAAAATATGTTTCTTCTTTTGATTTAATGATTGCAAGTAGAAGTAAAATGGTTTTCTATGGTAAATCATCAAAATAATTATTTCAATATAGTCTTTTTTTCTGGTGAATCTGAACACCAAATTTTTGCTCATACAGAAAACCAGAATCATTCTCGCAGGACTGTTGAGAATTATTTTGATTACTGAGCAAGATCCATTCAAGGCCGCAATTTATATCCATATTTCAGTTATGAATTTCAGGCAATTTTCAATCATTTCAGATCAGAAAACATAATATTTCAAGTGAAGAGTTATTTACTGAACGTGTTCATAGACGTATACTTGTAAAAGTGTTCTACCTGCAATTGTTCTTTTACCCCCCGTGTTCTCATTAGTTATTTGTTGTTCATTTCCAAGACTTTTCCCACCACCGTCCTTATCACACACTGAGTTTGGTCTAAAATGTTACGATCGTTCTTCCTCTTAAAATGAAATATGCTCTTGACATTTACCTGATATACACACACACTAAATATATATATATATATATATATATATATATATATATATATATATATATATATATATATATATATATATATATATATATATATATATATATATATATATCAACATTTTATACTTAATATTCATCAATATTCAACTGCGCTTCAGTGTCCTGAGTTTATCTTCAGCAAACAGATAAGAGCACAGAGCCGGGATAGAGTAAATACCGGGGGTATATAGCGCTATGTCACACATGACTGATGGACGATGGCTTCCACTCCCTCGCTAATGACGGCCATTACCCCCTTAATGGCAAAAGTTAGCATGATGAAATGGGGGGCCTAAGAGGTTCCCATTTTTCGAGATGTCATCCAGAATACAGTGTCACCTTCAAAATATATAGTCAGAAATATGTACATTTTATATGAAGGATAAACACTCGCTTGAGGACAAAAATAAACATCTAAAGAGCCATAGCGGAATTATATATATATATATATATATATATATATATATATATATATATATATATATATATATATATATATATATATATATATATATATATATATATATATATATATATATATATATATATATATATATATATATATATATATATATATATATATATATATATATATATATATATATATATATATATATATATATATATATATATATATATATATATATATCTTGCTGCATGATATATACTCGAGGATAAAGTGAAGGAGATGAGGTGAGGTGAAGCATGTCGCTAATAGGTCCATTGCACAAGTTGCAATGCATTGGAGGCATGCATCAAGATCTCCTCCACCCCCACCCCCCACCCCCAGGTCAAATCAATGACCCTCCACAGGATGCAACCCTACAACAGTTTCGTAACTTCGGGGTACCTATACACTGCTTAGTGAACAAAGACATTAAGTGAAAGGAAACATACCCAATCATTTCTACCCTGCCCAGGAATTGAACCTGGGATTCCCAATTGCGAGCCGAGAACGCAGCCAACTGTGCTACAAGGCTCTATAAATATAATATCGACTGGCTCTCCTCCACCACACCGCCAGCGACGTGATCTCCACTACACCAGCAACTCGCTAGTAACGAGGATCTCAACGATATCATAAGGAATACGTTTAAAAATTCCTCAAATTAATACGTCACATTTTTCTCTTATTCATGTAACTAATCCCAGCTGTAAATATATGTGGGACCTGAAGCGTCCATTACTTGTTCTAGAACAGCAACAAACACATGAGTCAGGTTATCTTGAGGTTATCTTGAGATGATTTCGGGGCTTAGTGTCCCCGTGGCCCGGTCCTCGACCAGGCCTCCACCCCAGGAAGCAGCCCGTGACAACTGACTAACTCCCAGGTATCTATTTACTGCTAGGTAACAGGGGCATTAGGATGACAGAAACTCTGCCCATTGTTTCTCGCCGGCGCCTGGGATCGAACCCAGGACCACAGGATCACAAGTCCAGCGTGCTGTCCGCTCGGCCGACCGGCTCCCCTCCAAAGAAATCAAAGAGGGTGAAAGAAACTCTGCCCATTGTTTCTTGCTGGCGCCAGGGATCGAATCCGGGACCACAGGATCACGCGTCCAGTGTTGTGTCCGCTCAGCCACCGGCTCCCCGGAGTCGCTCAAACTCACTGTATTTATAAGTTGCATTATGACCCAACTGAATATTCCTAAAGATATACTTAGAGGAACAATCCATAGACATTTTAGACAAATACAATTAGCGTCGTTATAGAGACTTAACACCTTGTAAACTGTACCAGGATCGCCAACAAACATATATCAGTCAAACGATGGTGTGTTACGTTGATGGTAAACCAAATAACTATTGCCAGTCAGCCGCGGTCGCTTGTGGAAGGTCTGTCATCCTGACTATATTCGAATAAATGAAGAGTAGAATCTACATAGCTACGCCTTTATGCTGCCAAAGCCCTGTTTACTACTGCACAATATTCCCCTTGACGCAGGAGTTCCAGGCATAGTTTCTATACCTCGAGACACGTTTCTATAGCTGGAGACATGTTTCTATAGCTCGAGACATGTTTCTATAGCTCGAGACATGTTTCTATAGCTCGAAACACGTTTCTATAGCTCGAGACACGTTTCTATAGCTCGAGACACGTTTCTATAGCTCGAGACACATTTCTATAGCTCGAGACATGTTTCTATAGCTCGAGACACATTTCTATAGCTCGAGACATGTTTCTATAGCTCGAGACACGTTTCTATAGCTCGAGACACGTTTCTATAGCTCAAGACACGTTTCTATAGCTCGAGACACGTTTCTATAGCTCGAGACACGTTTCTATACCTCGAGACAAGTTTCTATACCTCGAGACACGTTTCTATACCTCGAGACACGTTTCTATACCTCGAGACACATTTCTATACCTCGAGACACGTTTCTATACCTCGAGACACGTTTCTATACCTCGAGACACGTTTCTAAAGCTCGAGACACGTTTCTATAGCTCGAGACACGTTTCTATACCTCGAGACACATTTCTATACCTCGAGACACATTTCTATACCTCGAGACACGTTTCTATACCTCGAGACACGTTTCTATACCTCGAGACACGTTTCTAAAGCTCGAGACACGTTTCTATAGCTCGAGACATGTTTCTATAGCTCGAGACACGTTTCTATAGCTCGAGACACGTTTCTATAGCTCGAGACACGTTTCTATAGCTCGAGACACGTTTCTATAGCTCGAGACACGTTTCTATAGCTCGAGACACGTTTCTATAGCTCGAGACACGTTTCTATACCTCGAGACACGTTTCTGTACCTCGAGACACGTTTCTATAGCTCCAGACACGTTTCTATAGCTCCAGACACGTTTCTATAGCTCCAGACACGTTTCTATACCTCGAGACACGTTTCTATACCTCGAGACACGTTTCTATACCTCGAGACACGTTTCTATAGCTCGAGACACGTTTCTATAGCTCGAGACACATTTCTATAGCTCGAGACATGTTTCTATAGCTCGAGACACATTTCTATAGCTCGAGACACGTTTCTATAGCTCGAGACACATTTCTATAGCTCGAGACATGTTTCTATAGCTCGAGACACATTTCTATAGCTCGAGACACGTTTCTATAGCTCGAGACACATTTCTATAGCTCGAGACATGTTTCTATAGCTCGAGACACGTTTCTATAGCTCGAGATACGTTTCTATAGCTCGAGATACGTTTCTATAGCTCGAGATACGTTTCTATAGCTCGAGACACGTTTCTATAGCTCGAGACACGTTTCTATAGCTCGAGACACGTTTCTATAGCTCGAGACACGTTTCTATACCTCGAGACACGTTTCTATAGCTCGAGACACGTTTCTATAGCTCGAGACACGTTTCTATAGCTCGAGACACGTTTCTATAGCTCGAGACACGTTTCTATAGCTCGAGACACGTTTCTATAGCTCGAGACACGTTTCTATAGCTCGAGACACGTTTCTATAGCTCGAGACACGTTTCTATAGCTCGAGACACGTTTCTATAGCTCCAGACACGTTTCTATAGCTCGAGACACGTTTCTATAGCTCGCGACACGTTTCTATACCTCGAGACACGTTTCATTCACATATCAACAAGTCCTGACCTCGGCTTAACAAAAAGTCTGTTATACTATTAAATTATAGTTGAGTAAACCCGTTATTTTTCATTATTTTCTCTGCGGTATTTTGCATTGGTTAACGGGGGAGCCGGTCGGCCGAGCGGACAGCACGCTGGACTTGTGATCCTGTGGTCCCGGGTTCGATCCCAGGCGCCGGCGAGAAACAATGGGCAGAGTTTCTTTCACCCTATGCCCCTGTTACCTAACAGTAATATAGGTACCTGGGTGTTAGTCAGCTGTCACGGGCTGCTTCCTGGGGGTGGAGGCCTGGTCGAGGACCGGGCCGCGGGGACACTAAAGCCCCGAAATCATCTCAAGATAACCTCTCAAGATAACGGTACAGACTATGGTGATATATTAATGTTTGAAAAGGCAGGAGACAACGTCAACGTGTAATATTTCTCAATAATTTTATATATCATAATTTATAAGTATTAGTTTAGCTGTACTCAAATTTACGAAATAATTTGGATGTAACGTTTTCTACAATAGGTCATATGAAAGACTTACACTATAGAGACCAATATCGGGGGATAGTCTCACTCCTTTCCCAGTGGCCTCGTTAAGTTCGTATTA